AGAAACCGATGTGAGAAACGCCACGACTTATGCGGCGTAGGACGGTAAAACTTTAGATTCGTTTGTCTGCTAGCTTTTGGATGTGGAATAAAATTTAGGGAATTGTTATTGGCACTCTAAAAATTTCATTTTATACTCTAAATTTTTTTTTATATTTGAAAAAAAAATATATTTGTGAGGAGTATAGAATGAGATTTTTGAAATGTCAATAACACTTCTCATAATTTATATATATATATATATATATATATATATATTTTGACCCTCCACCATCATCATCATCATTTGTTCATCAACACAATTTAGCTTCTCGATGCAATATTCATTGCCACTACTATTTATATTTTACTCTTCCTTTTCTTTTCTTTTTTTCTCTGTCCTTTGTTTAGTCTTTTTTTATTTCTTGGAACCAAAATGAAAATCATGGATGGGTCAAACTGAATTATTATATGGTTGAGGGATAGAAGAGCACAGGTTTTTACTTATTAATTTGAAACGTTATGATAACAGTAAATTTGTTCTCTTTCGCGCAAGTCTTTTTTTATGACGAAGTGTTGAGAAACACAATTTCTCATGAGTCATAACCCGCAAGAAGAGTACTTCGTAACACTACAAGAACATTCAGATGCTCGCACAAGCATTATGTGATGTGTGATGTATCAAACTCAAAGTCAGGCTTAACTTGTAAAGTTGTTCTTGCATGCCCCATCCAAGAAAACCTTTGGGGTTGTCGGTTAAGGACTCCCGGAATCTTTCTCGCGATTTAACCAAAAGTCCGGCTCACATTTCTTTTAGGCATATAAGAATTGTTTAAAATATTAAATATTTGGTCTAATTCCACCGTAATTTTGATACTCTTTTATCCGTTCAACAAAAATCATCACAAGACACAAATTAGTAGAAAATTACCATACAGATTAAGAACTCAACTCCTTTTGAATTCAGTGTCTGATGCACAGATTAAGCAATTACCGCACCAATTAAACATAGCGATTATACTCAGTGTAGCAATCGAGCCAAGATGGAAATTATTATTATTATTTTTTTACCAATATGAAATTAATTAGTGACACAATAATGTACTTAGTTAAATTAGTTAACATGGAGTGGGTCATCGGAACTTGCAAAAACACTGGCCCAATATAATGGGCCACTCACCATGTCCAATTCAGGAATTAAACCCAGAGAATCCGTACATCAAAACTTGGTTCCGGATTCCTAGCAATCTGGAGCGTGCTTCTGTGAGGCGGTCTGGAGCTCGTGTGCCACCTGAGTGTCACGTGCCAGGTAATCATTTGTCCCGTCCATCACGTCCTAATTTCATCTGTTGTTGCCAACTTGTCCTAATTTATCTTCACTTGTAAGTGAAATGTCTTATATTCGATTTTTGTCAAAAGTAAATTTAAAATACATTATAGCTAGCTCATAGTAAGGCTAAGCTCACCCATTCCCCTTAGTGTAGATAATATCGTTTGTTAAAAAATAATAATAATAATAATAATGATCTCTTGTCTTCTTCTTTGCTTTTACACATTCTGCCCCTGTGTTATCTCTAAATTACAAGTCTGCATTTTTCTTGGAAAATAAAATGATGCCCAATAGTAAATCAAAAAAATAAAATAGAATGAGAATAAAATTTCAAACAAACCTTAACAATACATTAAATGGGTATATAAGACACAAATTTAATATAAATGCAAAGAGAAATGCTAAGGACACTCTCAAAAGTCAGACTATTTATAGACTCTCTAACACGTCATGTTTTCGTCATAATATTTTATAACTTTGGCACGGAAATGACGTTATTGTGATGTGGCAAGGGTCTATGGAGAGTTCACTTTGAAAGAGTCTCCTAAACATTTCTCAAATGGAAAAACATAACGTAAATACAACTAAACTAAAGCGAACAAAATCCGCATTAATAACAAAAGAAACTGACCAAACTCACAAACGTTAAAATAACTGCAAAAACTTTAACGTAAATACAGCTAAACTAAAGCAGACAAAATCCGCAGAAATAACAATAAAAACCCATTGAAATCTACTGTAATCCATGTGCAACCCAAACCTACCAAAATTGTGAAAGGTAGTACACAAGGCTACATTCTCAACAAATCCACAAGATGGTACAATATCATATTATAAGTAGAGAGACATTGAGAGCTATACTTTAAAGTGGTACATTAACATTGTCGTCACTTATATTATACAACATAAAGTATCACATTTTGTTCCGAGTACACACAAAATTTCTCCTTTAACATAGCCTAGCTCTTTGTAATTTCTGATGGTTAATTCTAATAATTTGACTTTAATTTGCTTCCCAAAGTGTTAAACACCTAAAACCCCTGGAATCCAGCGTGTGTATGAGTCAGATTGTATTACCAAATCTAACCTATTGCCTTGCAAACATATAAAAGTGGATAAGCTTTATATTTATTACCATGGTCGGTTCGTAATATAAGTCTGCATGCAGGGTTGTATTAAAAGAGGAAAGCACAAAAACAGTCAGCTGGTTATCTACTTTTCCCTGAGCACTTTTTAACCTAAACTGGAAGGTGGCACACAAACCTCCGGTTTTCGCCTCGCAATCCTCCAAAAACCACTGCGCACCACCCCAGAAATGCCGGAAATGCCCCTCACCAACTCTGTTAAATACACCTCCAATCTCCTCCATTCACATTGTAGTTTGGTGAGAATGAGAATGAGCTGCAACGGATGCAGGGTGCTTCGCAAAGGGTGCAGCGACGAATGCGAGATCAGACCCTGCATTGAGTGGATCAAATCCTCCGAGTCCCAAGCCAACGCCACACTTTTTCTTGCCAAATTCTATGGCCGCGCTGGCCTCCTCAATCTCATCAATGCTGGCTCCCCAGCCCTCCGCCCCGGTAAGTGAAAAATTAATCCAAACTCATTTCAATATTGTATGCACATATGAGCTAAGTCAGTCGCACCATTCTGTTTGTTTCTAATCTCGAGTTGAATAAATTAAAAAACAGAATTAACTAGGAATGTGTAGACTGTGCAATTTGAAAAGAAAAAACAAACAGATGTTAGAAAATCATTTCTAAAAAAATTAATATCGCCCATATTCAATTAATTTATAAGGTTTTCTTTTAAAAAATGATAATAATTTGTTCTCTTTTTCTTCTTCAAATTACAATTTTGAATTTTCTAAAATTGTTTGTGATTTTCTATTAGCTATTTTCAAGTCGTTATTGTACGAGGCGTGTGGACGGATCGTGAACCCGACGTACGGCTCGGTGGGGTTGATGTGGTCCGGGGGTTGGGACCAATGCCAGGCTGCCGTTGATGCAGTTCTTGAAGGATCGCCCATCATGGGAATTGATGCGGATGTGCTGAAGCGGAACACGAATCCGAACCTGGATCCTCCTCACAAATCCGGGGACATACGCCACGTGTCCAGGGACACAACCTCGGGCAGTTCCTCTCATAACAAAGCTACAACCCGGAACAAGCTCAAGAGATCCATGAACCGGCCCAAAATCCAACCAGACTTTGCAACCGGGTCAAACACCAAGAGTTTGGCACAACTCTGTAATGTTCCAGACCCGGATGACTTGTACCCGATTCCGCAAGGAAACGGGTCTAGCGGAGATCAACAAGCTGCTGATGATCAAGATGGAGAGATAGGGTTGGAGCTGACTCTTGGTCTTGGGTTACCTCCTCTAACCCATCTTAATTAATTAATTAGTTATTAAGTTTGTGATGTGGATGTTTGAGGGAGTGACAAGTGGAAAGAAAAGTTACGAGGAGTAAGCACAAATGTGCTTCATGCAATGCGGGAAGGGTTCTGAGTTGCTTGTGTTTTTACCGCTGTTCCTGTTTGTGTTACTTTTTCGCTTAGAAAATCTGTGTCAGCTAAAATTTTGAGTGGAGTTCTGTTTTGGTGTAAGAGAATTAAGACATATGTATACATATATGCGCAAGCAAAAAATTTACTTTAGATTTGGCATTTGGCGATTCATATATGTAAATTTCAGTCATGATCGTTAATGTACCAGTTCTTCACCGAAAGTGTGAATTGTTTTCCTTTTTATTTTGAATAATTAAATTGAATATAACATTACGAATACAACATCACCATCCTGAAAAAGACTAGGAATCTTCGAAGAACTTGAGGATTAGGCAAGTCGAACTACGCGCAAAGCTGACACGGAACCAAAGTTCTATCAAGCCTAGAGAACAATTGGAGAGAAGCAACCCCAGATACTAAAGAAACATCCACAATAAATTTGGGAACTTCTCGCTTTGTGAGGATCCGAGGAAATGTTTATTGTACAAAACCTTACTTTTTTTTTTTTTTTTTTTTTTTTTAATTTGTTCTCATGATCTTTTGGTCACAAAAGGAACACATGCATTTCTAGGTCTAATAAATCGCAAGTCACATATCAGTCCCTTCGTTCGTCTCACAAGACTAGTTGTCGAATCTAAAGAAACAAGTGACGGGTAACGTGTTTGTGGGTTCCGAGTCATATGAACAAAAAGACTAAGAAAAGACGCTTGCATGGAGGACACGGAAATAATTTTATCAGAGATGCCAACGCAGGATACTTCATGTCTTGTGTTGTGACTCAATCTGCTGCAATACCAAGTAAAAACACTGAATTTCCATTTTCAGTTTTGCTCGATTATCTTTGAAAATAATCCGCAACCTGCGTAGACCTTGTTTTGGATGCACAAATGGATTAATAAATTAATCATTTTACAATAAACAAATGCAAATGTGTTAATTGACTACATTTTTCAATGACCGAGAAATTAACCTGGAGTGATTTGTATGAACATATAAATCGAGTAAATTCGCATCCAAATTGGATGCAAATAATTGCTTCTTTTTTACCAACAGAAAATTGGGTACGAAAGTTGTTAATTATTTATACAACGAAACAAGCAGAGCCCACATCTGTAAAATTATGTAGACCTAAACCCTACATATATATATATATATATATATATATATATATATATTCATGAACTCAGTCAAAAATATTTATTTTATTAATTAATGGATTTACACGCTGCGTGCATGTATACACAAACTCAAGTTTACTACAAGGTAAACTTATGGGCCGAGCCACCGGTGGACGTTCATTTGGCAAGCACGGGAAAAGCAGATCCGGCAAAGGATGATCTCTTGACAAACCTCCCTTTCATTCTTGGCCTTTTCTCCGCATTCAGCTTTCGAACTTCGTACCTTATTTTCTTCGAGAACAGCCTTGTTCTCCGCTTTTCTCTGTACCTTGACACCCTCGCCTCCCTCCCTCCGTCCACCATTGCCGGATGTACCCCGATTCCGTTCAAATCTCCGTAAGGGTAATGAAGTCCAGGTCCACATACACCCTGCAAGGTTCACAAACATAGTCCTCTGTTAATTCTATTTATTGTATCCCTCCACATATATAATCAATTATATTAAGCATTTATTTATCAATTAACGAATTTGAACTTAAGACTTCTTTCAACAAATTATTGCAAGACCTCATTTGTATTTATATACATTCCATATTACTTGTAGTTTATACCAAAGGAAAAGAATTGAAGACTTCGGGCAAGAAGTACAAACCATGTAGTCAGGCAAACATTCGGAGTCGAAATCCGGGCGGTCACCGGAGGTCCACGGGGAGCCATCCCAGGCTGTAATCACCGCCTCGTAATCCAGCCTCAAAATCGTCTTCCTCTTCTTGCTGTTATCTATTGCATCTTCGTCCGCCTCCTCATGTTCATGATCTTCGGTACAATTACTATCGATTCCCACTATCATTTTGTCATCCTGCTCACCGCACGATGCTGGCGAGTCATCATAATCTTCAAAATTCAAAACAAAAGGCTCCTTCATCATATCAATCTCACTCTCCCCCAATTGGCACCCCATAAAATCAACACCGTCTATTCCATCTTGATCATCATCCTCCTCTAACTTCACTCTACCTTTCGATTCCTTTTCTTTACAATCCCTCAACCCTAACCCTTCCATCCCAATACACTGATCGTCATTGAGGCCCCTCCCCAGCAAACTATCCACGTCAGCCGCGAACTCCGCAAGATCCATGTCGCTCGGAAGCAGAAACCCATCATGGCCGTTACAATTCGGCAACGACGAAACTGCTTTGGATTGGCTTCCAACATTATCAGAAACAGTACTAAGATTGTTAGCTTCGTAATTCGCAGCTGCATCTTCACTAGAGTTACCAGAGTTACTGCACAGCTCCGCAACAGACGGATCGAATATCGGAACCCTATAAAGCAGCTGCTGGTCTTCCTCATTTTCTTCATCGTACGAGTTATTATCGTCTCCCCCAACTTCCGGAACCTGCGGAAACAGGTTCCGGATTCCTTCCTTGGATTTTCCATGATGTGTCATGGACTTCCCGCCCCGCGGCGTTCGCGGCTTCCGCGTGAACCCGCGGTGCCAAGACGGTGCCGCCGAGGTCTTCGAAACAGCGGTCGTTCTATCATCTTTGTTGCTAGGTTTGAGAGACGACGCCGTCTTCAAGAGAACCCTTTCGTGCCGACGGGCCAATTGGTTGGCGGAGTGCACGTCGGAGTCGCAGGCTTCGCATAAGAAAGCGTCGTCAGCAGCGCAGTACCAACGAGCTCTCTTTTTTATGCAGCTGTCACACGCTCGGGCAGTTTTACCGCCGACGGCATGTGCCACTTTCTTGCTAGAATTCATGAAAATTTGACCCCAGATTTGAAATCCAAAAATCTTTTTGGAGAAAGTTTAAAATAGTGCGAAGTCGAGAATGTGCACAGAACTGTTTGATGAATGCACTTTTATTTAGGTGAAGAGCGCAAGAAATAATTGGGGTGTGTGTGTGCGCGCTACACAGCCCGCGCTTTTACAGTGCATATAACAGCGAAGGCAGCTCTTGGATTTGCACTTTTGGGGAGGAGAGAGAGAGGGGATTGTACTTTCGGGCCCAGGCGACGCCTTATCTGTATCCTTATTGGTCGAGTTTAGAAAGTCGATCCGAATCCCCGGCTTCCCATTGGCTACCTCTCCCCATCGACGGATTTCTCATTTGTTAGTGGATACGGGTCCCACCTCTCACTTTCCGCTTGGCTTATTTTTTCTCGACCCGAATTTGAAAAGGACCGTTTTGTTGGTTTGTCAACCCTGCCCCGTTAGTCCATCGGTACTACTTGTTTAACTTTCGGACTCTTGCATTCCCTCCATGCATTGCGGTCCCCATAGGGACGTGTCCTCTCAAAAGGTCTTGGATTCTTTGGATTTTATCCATCGAAAATCCTTTTCGGAGCGTGATAGGACCAATCAGCCAATAATATCAGTCCACATGCATAAGATCATCTTCTCACCCCGGACCTGGAGAGGTAACTCGTTCAGATAATAAACACAGATCTAACTGTGACTTCCAGTATTGCTGCGTATGTAACTTTCAAATTCTATGCCTCTTTCGCCATTTTGATTAGAAGTTAAGTTTGTTTTAAAGAAGTGATTTCCGAACTCTTTCTTTTCCTCGTTCAGCTCTTCTTTTTATAACCTTTGATGATTTACAGAACCAAGAGCAATGAAATAACAAGAACAAAATGCGGAGATTTTGCAAAATGAGATGTTATAAGTGAAAGTTAAAAATGGAGGGGTTAGATACCAAGAAAACGAAGTACATTGAGGAAAGATATTTATGTAGCTATTCTTTTTTACAAACGAATGAAATTTTGATATTTGTATCGACACTTCTATTTTTGTAATTTTGATGAGATATTGGTTGCATATGCATTAGATTCGATTTACAGTTTTGCATGTAAACAAAACCAAATGACGTCTTCATATAAATATGTATCTAGCATGGCGAATGAATAGAACTTGAGTTGTATGCTTGAAAATATGTTTTGCGATATCGATTTTATAGCTAATTGATTGAAAGTAGAAATGATGTCGACGAAATTTTTTCTACCTCGATCGATAAGAAGTCATCCCTCATAAGTAACTCTTGACTAGTAATAGAAAGAGATGGGTTGGACTAGGAATATGAAAAGCCGATTGGGGCACGATCTTGACATACAAAAAATGTTTGAAAATATAGGTCGTGATGATTAGTGGTTTAAATTAGCTTGCTTAACACATATCTCCTATCTAGTTAATTAGATAAAAGGATAAGTATTAACTGTGTATAGATAAAGCTGATGTGGAGGTCTCTGCAATTGCATAAGATTACCGAGAGTGCCGAATTTTCTTGAAGAAAATTGACATGATATTATGAATAATACTTGGCTCGTCAAAATATGAGTATGAGTTTCTTAAAAAATATATATCGACATAATATTACAATTAATAGAACTTTATGTTTATGACTAGACTGTTCATAATATAAATCACTCTATAAAATTGTCTTTGCAAAAAATCATATAAAAAAAAGTACAAAACTCTGTGATTCAAACACGAATAATTTTGAATATGAATTCATATTTCTTTTTAAGTAGCTAAGAATATTATTCCTTGTTTTGGTTACGTGGAAAAGGACATATGTGTAGTAATCTGTCTGTGTAGGACCTAAACATTAATAGCCCATCCCTCTCCATCTCTCTCCAAAATAATTTAGAATCTGGCTCATTTGCGTATGTTTGTCTACTCCACAACTGTACAACATGTATGTATGGGATAAGGTTTGGGAATATGTTTTACCAAATTAACTACAAGGTGGGAGTAGGGAGAAATTGAGGATAATATATCAGAACGAAAAATAAATAAAATTGTTATTAGTGTTTAGTCTTTATTTTTCATTTTGTGCGTCGTTGCGTGCTCTATCCTTCCGTTAGGTAATTAATTTTTTCTCTCTCCCACCTAGCAAAAAACCAAAATAATTATCAAATGAACCCTTTATTTGCTTTTGATGTTTCTTATATAATATCTTATGAGAAAGTTACAAAATAAAATAATGAGAAATGTATTGAGTTATAAAAAAGAATTTCAAAAAAAAAAAATCCCACCTCATGAATTTGAGAAGTCGTAGAGGACTCACCAACCATTGATTGATAGAATTAGGAGGAAAAAAAAAAGAAAAAAAAAAGGGCAAATGATGTATGTAACTAATCAACTAGATAATATCAAAATGTTTTTTTGATACCTATATATTTACATCAAAATGTTTTTTTGATAATATCAAAATGTTTTTTTGATAGAATTAGGATCACACAATGAACAAGCTAAAATAAAGTGATACAATGCTCTTCAATCATAAAAGTTCAAATTTAATATAAATGCTAATAAATTGTAACACTAAGTAAGTGACTATTTTTTTAATACTAAAGTGGAATTTCAAAATATCTCTAAATATGATATTTTCAAGTGAAAGTTGAAAATGTCTCTAAACAAAAATATCTGCTCAAAAAGGATTCTGGGGGCTTAGTTTTGTTGAAACACATGGTTATGGTAAACACTGGGCCTCAGGCCCAGTGCTGGTAAACATTTTAGGCTCGGCCCAAAAGGCGCATCGTGACTGAAACATGAGTAGGTTAAGCCAGAAGCGGCAACAAGGGCAATTTCGTCATTGAGAAATCCGATTGCCTTGTTGGGTGTAGGGTTGATTGGTTGGGTACTCTGCTGAGCTGCTGAGGCAAACCAGTGTTCCCGTCCAAGATCACCGACTCGCGCTCGGTCTAAAGGCTCAAGCTTTGTAAGTTTTTGCTTGAAACGGTGCAGCAAGCTCTGCAACTTTCTTCGCACTCTGTAATTTTGCTCACCTGCATATATGGATAGATGTTATCTTCGCCATTAATTTTTTCGGTTCAAGTTATGAATACAGCTTTAATTCTACTTAATCAAACTTTTACCATTGGAATTTGTATCGATTTTGATTTTCGCCCGGTAATTATATCTGATTATGGAACTCCAAACTGCAATTAAGCAAAACCATGTTTCCAGCTTTGATAATTATACTTTTCAATGATTATTTGAGATGCAAGTTTTGGACGTTTTAGAGATTGGAATGCAGAAATGTAGTTTATGGAATCGAAAACACCAAAACCATTGATGCAGTATAAACTATAAGGGGTAGTAAGTTATTATGCAGAATAAATTATGCAAGCGTAAATCATGCAGTTTAATCGTTACAGTTTTTGCCCGAAAGAGGGAATTTGGGTTCACATTTAGTCACCGAAGATGGTTCCATAGGTTTTCTGATGAAGAGGAATTCGAGGATATACAGTCCCTTCTTCTATTATATGATGGGATTCTATATATATGTATTAGAGTTAGTTCGTTTCAAGTAGTGAACCGATCGCACTTAAGATGGACGTTTATGAATTACTATTTTGTAGGTGTTGTTTGCATTTCGCAAGATCAATTCAAATTAAGGAAAACTAATGAAAAGGACTTGAAAACTTTGAGTTTTAACGATAAGGACAAAAAGGGTAAAGTGAATGGTACCAGGATTGACTTTTTCTTGGAAAATGTGGTTTTTCGTTACAGTGAACAATACCAGAAGCTTTTTGTTAAAGTTCTCTTCAGATTATTGATTACGCTCCTAAGTTAAAAAAAATAAGGATGATTAAGTAATATTCTCTACTTCGATGCGTAAATTAGTGCTTAGTGTTGAGTTACTTTGAGGAGCTAATTTGAGATCGATATATGAGGTTTATATTTCTCTTTGAAAGAAAGAGATAAGAGTTCATCATTTGAGGTTATTTAATAGGCCTTTTAAATAGGAAATTTTAGGATCATGTTTAGCTGACGTGTTTGATACTTAGTACCTTTTAAAGTATTGATCCATGATCCGATGGAAACGGAAGCCATTGTGGTACTCCATACATCTTAAATGCCGTTATTAAAACAATCAAGGAAGCATGGAATCAATAGAGAGCAAGGATATTACATCTATTTCCATTCAATTCTCATGTTTTGGCAGCTCTGTTCATTGAACGGTTGGCCCAAGGATGATGTTTCATCTTCTGTCTTAATTTATGTCTCGATCATACAGAAATAGTGTGATGATGGCATCCATACTGCAGGACCTTGTGATGTCAGGGCGAAACCATATGTCTCGCCATTCTGATGGTTATCGAGTTTATCGTGATGTTCCGCGACCTGTTATGAACCGAGGACCAGGACCCTTGTCTATTCGCCCTGCAGCTCTGGAAGAAGAACTTGCTGTGCAGCGTAGAGAAATGCAGCGAATTATTGCTGAGAACCAGTTTGTAATTGATGATAATACCCTTCTTCAAAGGCAATTGACAGATGCAAGAGATGAAATTCATAGATTGGGGCAGCTCATACCTAAAATCCGGGCTGAGAAAGAAGCGCAGTCTAGGGAGTTGATTGAGAGAGAATTGAAGCTAGAAGCTGATCTCCGTGCTACAGAGCCTTTAAAGGCGGAAGTTATGCAGTTAAGAGCTGAAGTTCATAAACTGAATAATTTACGGCAGGAACTGTCTTCCCAAGTCCAAGGTTTGACACAGGACGTTACTCGGTTGCAAGTGGAGAATCAGCAACTAATTGCCATGAGGGCTGATATTGATGTGATGCGAAACGAGCTTGTTGAGACCAGGTTTTGACAACGAATTTCTATTTAGTTTTATAGCCAAAATACTATCTCTTCTTTTCCTTTTTAGGAGATGGGTGACACACATTAGGATGATACTGCATTTTCAACTACATTAGCTGCTGCTCTTTTGTATGCATATTTGGATTGACTATGCAACACCTTTTTTAGGAGAGCTTATGAATTTGAGAGGAAAGCCAATGAAGAACAAGTTGAGCAAAAGCAAGCAATGGAAAAGAATCTCGTCTCCATGGCTCGTGATATGGAGAAGCTAAGAGCAGAGCAGCTGAATGCAGACAGGAGGGCACGAGGACTAGGTGAACCTCTCTCTCGCTCTTTCTCATCCATGCACACACAAACGCACAGAACTCTAGCGCTCATGGACCTCGTGGTCTTGGGTTTCTAACGCACTGAACCGCCGGCAGGCAAGGTGTTTTGAGTCTTGACTCCTCTCATATTTATGTATAGGTGGTAAGAGTTACGGAATGATGAATGGAAGTCCCGATATGAGATATTCAGGTGGTCCATATCGCAATGGCTATAGCACCGGTTGGGGACCCTACGATAGGCGTGGATCACGACATTAAGTTGTCCTGAAGATATGGAATTGCTCTGGAATTGGGTACCCATGTCTGCGGTCCAGTGCTGCTTATAGAGTAAAGTGGACTCCGGAGGATGAGGCCACAGAAACGAAACAACCTTAGTCCTTGTAAAATTTCTGAACATTTTATCCTTTGTATGATTTGCGCCTGTAGTGATGGTGCCTTGAGCAGCGTGTTGCATGTTGTATGCGCAAGTTTTATTTTTCTTGTAGCTTGATTTTTATTGTCACACACAATTGTAGTTAACATACAACCCAACATAAAGTGCAGTCAAATAACCAAAGGTTGGTCATTTGTTAAATCATAGACATTCCGACAATCATGTAAAAAATTCTTCATTCCTTTCAAAAAGAAGTTCATTGTAACAATTTTCATTTGTCAACCCTCGCAAAGCAGGGAGTCTTGTTGGCTCGGACTCGTCCTAAGTCCTAAATATAACCGTCATTGTTGCTCGATCATTGGGACTGTCCTTTTAGAACCTTGGAAATGGCTTGAACAGTGGAAGGCGTTGTCCGACAACATCCTCCGATGAGTTTAGCACCCGAATCGCGCCAGATTGTTGCAAAGCATTCAAAGTTTTCATCATCAAAACACTTGGCAGGCTGTTCATTTAAGACAATACACAATTGATTAGTTGATATACACATCATAAACTGTGTTTAGAGGGAGAGAACCTAAAAACAACTTGGACTCACCAGCCATCTCTTAGCTTTGCCGTCCCATATCTCACCACTATTAGGGTACACAATAATTGCTTTACTGGTTAACTGGAGGAAAGAAACAGCCTGCATTAGATCTAATTCACAAGTTTTTCAGACACACGGATTTCTGATATTTTTTTAATTTAGAAATTACCTCCTTAAACTTGCAGATGAGAGATTGAATCAAATGAGGAGGTGTGCAATTTATTCCCACAGCATGTATTTTGTTACTTTTGCTCATCACCTCAAGGCATTCCTTAAAACTCTCTCCAGATGGGGCATTTTCACCATCCACAGAGCTGAAACATATCCAAGATGGAATCTGGACGTTCTGTTCTTCCAGCAGCTCGACGCAGGCCTGCAATTGTGTTCGAGAAAACCAAGATACCGTCAAGTTTTGAAAATCCATGACACTGTGGAGAACAAGATACTAATTGGTAGATGCGCACAAACCTGAGCTTCAAGTTTATTAGGAATGGTCTCAAATGCAAGTAAATCAGGACCTGCTTCGACAAGAACTTGCAACCTGCGCCGGTGGAAATCCTTCAGCTTATCAACATCCACACGGGGTCCATAACACCCGCTGAAAAGACCAACACATCGAAATTAGACATCCGAACAAAGTACATTACAACGATCATCTGGCTAAACAGGGTGTCAAGGAGATGCATACCTATATTCTGAGCCGTCAGCGAGATAAGCTCCATAGCTTCCAATGGAGGCAGCAACCAAAGCTCGGTTATAGCGATGATCGGGTGTCACTTTCAGAGCATCCCAGAAACTATTTCGGGCTTCGACAGCCAGTTTCACACTTTTCTTCAGCAACAACTCCCCTTGTTCAATGGAGAGTCCTCTGGACAAAAATCCAGGTATTGTGGCCTATTTCACAAAGTAAAAGTTGTTGGATTTTCTTCTATAAAGTATCGAGTTTGAAGTGTTTTTCCTCGAATGTTACCGATGGGTTATCCGCAAAAGGCCCTAATTGTTCGAATTTGCAGAACCCCAAAAAGAGAGGAGAAGAACAAGTTGTTTGTAATAGTTACGTGTATTAGGAAAAGAAATGAACCTGGTAAGAAGAAGTGATGAGAATATCAGCGCCGGCTTCCAAATAGTCCAAGTGTACCTGAGGAATTTGAAAATTTCAACCCAAACCCAACATTCATCAGAACAATTAGATAGAGAGATCCAGTCAAACGGTGAAGAAAATGGTTATAGAGAGAGACACACACACACACACCCGTTTGATGAGGTCGGGTTGTTTGATGAGGCAGACGGCGCTCCAGAGAGGGTCGTTGATGGCAGCGCCGTGCCTCTCCAGCTGGGTGGCGAAGCCTCCGTCCACCACAGCACAGCCCCCTGCTTTCTCTATTACATCCTCCAACGACGAGGTAATGGCCTTCTTCAATCCCATCTCTCTCTGGCTACTGTAAGTCTGCAGAGAATAACAGAGATTGCGGAGTAATGCGGAAAGAGATAGAAGTTGGGGAAGGAATAAATGGAGGAAAAAAAGGGTTGCTGTGGTGGTTTTGAACGTAGACGGAAAGAATAAGGACGGAAAGGCAGACCAAGTTCAACGTTTCCTTCGCGTTTCTTCTCTTTTTATCGGGGAATGCGGAGTCCCTCCTTTTCTACGTTTTCGGTGTCTAGTTTCTCGGACACTCGGGATCCACGTTCGAATCATAAGCAGTTTCGTGTGTATCTAATCTTTTTAGGATTGATTATTTTTGGGATTAAGTACAAGATTAATATCCAATCTTTAATGTTTGTATCTAAATTGATTTAAATCATTTCAAATAATTATTAGTCTTTTAAAAATTTGATTATTGGTGCTGGTAAATTAGAAGATAGTAGTCAGAGAGAGATTGAAATGCTTCTGTAAGTTTTCCCGAGTCAAGGAATGATGAATTACCATAGTGAAGCCATGTTCTCCTTTTTTCCTAATTAAAAAAACATTAATGACCTCAGTGAATGTTTAATTTTTTGAAGATTGGATAGAAAAAATAATTTAAAAGATCAATAGGATAATGAAAAATAAAAATATGGATAATGAAATGAAACTATGGGAGAAGCAAGCAAGAAGGAAAAATGTATGAGAGGGAAAGCGGGGTTGGTGATGAACAGGCGATGATGTGCTCTGCTTACCAACCCTAACCAAGACTAAACAACTTATAATATTTAGGGTTTGGAAGAAGTCATTTTGTGTCCTAGGGTTCGTTTTGGAGGACCAGGATCCTCTCCTAATCTAAGGATGAAGATTCTCATGACCAAGTGATGTGGCTACAAACATGAGGGTTCCTTTAAAGTTATAATAATTATAACCATTGGATTTTCATCCAACGGCCCACATCCCTTGGTCATGAGGATCCTCATCCTTAGATTAGGAGAGGATCCTGATCCCGTTTTGGAAGTCAAGATGGATAAATTAAAATCATTTTAAGGGTTTTTCTTATATTGCTTAAGGAATTTTTAGTGATTTATGTGACAATTAAAAACGCTTTTAACTAGTTTGACGGTAAAATATAAGTGCTTATTGCTCTTATAAGCACTTTATGAAGAAGCAAACTGTCATATGTTTATTGAAGAAACACTTTTAAATAGTTTGACAGTAGAAATTTTAATGTGTTTGTAACAAGGGCAGTTCTAGACAAAAACGCTTATGTCCCTCTTATAACTTGAGTAGGCGACATATTTGATGTGTTATGCTTCTAGGGTGTATTAATAAAAAAAAAATGAATATCCACGTATTATAACTTTGGCATAATAACACAATGTGGGGGTGTTTCCGGTAAAGAAATATCTACTAAATGTAGTGGGCAATTTCAATAACACGGGTACATTGATACCATGACGTCTTATGGTATTAAATTATGTGCAAAAACACTTACACATGTCATTATATTATTAACAGAGAATATCACGTACCATATATATGAGTAATGTATGTATAAAATACCATATAAGTATAAATAAAAAAATCAAAGTAAAATGCGCTTTTATTTAAGACGGTGGGTTTGACTGTTTAGTATTTAAGATGGGGCGGGCCAATAGGCCCAACGTACCGTTGGATCTAGGTTTGGGTGCCACGTGCCAGCATGTGCAGTTGGAAATTGGAAGTGTTATTTGTTATTTAGCCACCGGCCCAGTAGGGTCGGCAACGTTGCCGCTGGATCCATATACATGCCATGACTCACGACCCTGTCTCCATCGCGTTTGAATGCCGCTAGCTGTGGACAGTAACATGCTTTGTTTTAAATTAACAGCAAAAATATAAGAATATCAATTAATTCTACAGGGTTTTAAATCAATATTCATGGCAATTTTTTGTTGTTCAATAAATCTTCAAGAAATTATATATATATTTATTGTTATCTCACTAGCACCGTCACCTTAAAGAAAAATTGAACTTTTCAAAATTCATTATTTGTCACCTCACTTTAAGATCATTACATTTTTTTATTAAAAAAATAAATTAAGCGTTGCACATAACACATTTTTAACTTTTATTTTTTTGACTTGTTATTGAGAACAAATCAAATCACAGAGATCTCCATGATCTCACTTGAAAGAGTAATTTTTTAATGTGCTTGGAATAGGAGGTGTACTATTCTATGTTTTAGGCACATTGATAAATTTCTCCACTTAACAAAGTTTTGATCCCCAAAATAAGTTTTTTACTAAAATATAGAAAGTAGCCATGGGAAATGGGTAGAGTGAGGTAGTAAATTATGCATTTCGAAAAATCAAGCTATACCACTTTTGGAATGTGGTGACATAAAAAACATTTCCCAAGATTAAACTTTGGTTTGGGCAATTAGGCTAGAGCTGGTATGTAAACTTTGGTAGTAGTTGGTATGTAACCCTTTCCTAATTAAGGTTAAACATTTCCTAAACCCTAAGGATAATGATGTAAGTCTCCACTTCAGGGTGCATTAATCTTGTCAAGCTTTCACTGTCAAGAATAAGTGCAACGATTAATTTTGTCAAGCTTTCACTATCAAGAATAAGTGCAACGATTAATCTTGTCAAGCCTCTAGGATTAAGACTTCATGAGAAATCCTGAAAAGAACAAGAACAAAAAATACTCTTATTTTGTTCCTTTTCTCTCGCTCACACTTTGCCCTTACTATTATATCGCTCTAACTCCTTGAGTGGTATACAACTTATTGTTTTGCTCCACTTCAAAACTAGTGTAATAGCACCTTTATATAGACATAATAAAGCTCTTCTTCAATAAAAAATACTAATCATTGGAATCTAGTTATGAATCCTTCTCTAATTATGAAACCAACTCCAATTAGGAACACCACTCTAATTGGAAAAACCATTCCACTTGCGAAAACACTTTACTTCTATGAGACTATAATTCTTAATAGACTTAGAACAACTATCACCTCAAGGTGGAAAGACCAACAAATTTTAATCACTACCAAATTCCAATTAATTGTCTCCTTCACAATTTCACTTCACAACAATGTGTTGAAAAAGAGTTGGACTTGGCTGCTGAAGGATCAGCAGCTGCTGTTGATGACCAATTACAGCTAAACACGTGTCCAAATTTTAATTTTTTTAATCAAAACTTGAACACATATCTAACCGTAATTGGTCATCAACAACAAAGTTCTATCTGTTGAAAAATACGATCTAGCAACTCTGTTTAATTGTTTCCAAATGTGGGGCCGAATAATTAAAGTAATTAACAGATGCTCTGGGATGGCTTCCAACATGTTCTCTTCTCAGATGACATATCAATTGGTTAGTTTTATTGGCGGTCAACGGGTACAGAGCGCAAACAAATATATCACAATCATATCACGGTTGCGAGACACTTGTCGATTTAGAGGTAGCGTGGATGATATTTTTGCATGTAATGAAACACCCAAATTAACTGTTTTTCTATAAAATAAAAAATAATTAACCAACTTGTACCGAACGGGTTCACTATTAATATCATTTCTTGGACTCCTAACAGTCTAACACAATGTTATATTTTATATACAAAACTTTTTTCACATAACCGTGCATTAGTAGTTTAGAATGCCAAGATAATAGAAACCAGTTTTACTAGCTAAGTCTTTCTTATACCGTTATACGACAGTTCATGGCATGGATGCCGGTTTCAGTCTCATCTGCAATGGCCAGTGCTGGCTAGCCATCGTATAATCTTTGAAATATTAATGGCATCTGCAGCCCTGCATATTTGTTTAACTAATTTCTTCACCCTTGCATCCACAAGGACCGCAACCATGAAGTCATTCACCAATACATACATAGGCATACTGCTCAGCCGTTTCAATTGGCCAGATAACGAAATTAAAGAGAGAACCGTTTTCAGTTCTTCACATTAGGGAAGAACGGCCCTAATTTTCAATGATCCCCTTATAACTGAAAATAATCATCTGTTTGCAATAAGTAAGGTACAATATATGTTAGCCAAGTTTCTACTGCATTTCAAGAGTACTAAATACCAAAGCTTTAAAAACTTACAGCCTTAAGTGGACAAGAAAGCTTAATTAACCATGCATATCCACCTTAACCCCTAGCTTGTAAATGGTAAAAAAACCTAGGGCTAGCTGCTTCCAGGCATGGATTTTGCTCATAAATCCAGTCACGATATATGGATCTTTCTCTTTGTGTCTGTATATGTATAACTTTAATTTATTAATTTCTCTTTGCTTACCAGAAAGTTCAGGCTTCAAATGCATTCACGCACTTAGTTTACGTGTGTAGTTAGAGTTAGCTAACCCAGAACTTAGCTTTCCCCTCGTATGAAAATCTCTTTCCATATTTTGGACCTGTAGACTCGTAGAATACACGTATATTACACCATAGCTACTACGTATGCACCTGGGCAGAAGCTTCATAGCCTTAAATCCAGGACCTCTTCTTTTAGCTGCATTTTGGATGGCCGTGCAACAAAATTTAATTATGATGGGCTAATATCCCTTTTTTAATTTGGCGGTCCTCAAATTCCTTGTTAGTTACTTATTTAGCTTGTGTAAACTGAACAAAAGGATGCGTAAAATACATTTCCATGAATGGAAGATATCATCATCTGCCTCAAGGCATTTCATTTATGGTCGGGGCAAGTATAATTGTTTTCTACAGAAGTATGTTTCTTCCACTCAAACGGGACCTTGTACAACTGTATTAGTTTTGCACCAATATCAGCGGTGGTTGTCCACTTGTTTTTAGCCTTATAATTGAATGAATCAAAGGAAAATCAAGGCACATAGACAAAGCGAGAGTTGCATAAAGAAAATACTAGATGTTGCAAGAAACATTAAATGCAAAACCAAATTTAAAAATTAAGTCCCCAAAACATTACCATTTAAAAAACTACATGTTGTAACGGCTGATGATTAGATTCTGTTTTTTATGATATAAAGAAAGATTTCAATCATCAACCGTCATATCATGCAATGTACAAAATATGATTAAAATATATATTTGATTTTAATCAAAGAAAAGCCACCACCAATCACCATTCACCATTT